GGCATGTGCCCAGCTAACTTTTAAATTCTTAAAGATGGTTTTAAATTATAAGTAGGGATGTCTGTAAGGATGGGTGTGCCCTTAGAAGCCAGAAAAGGCTGGGCATTGGTGTTCCACACCTTTAATCCCAGCACTCGGGAGGCAGAGGCAGGTGGATCTCTGTGAGCTTGGTCTACAGAGTGAGTTCCAGGACAGGCTCCAAAGCAATACAGAGAAACCCTGTCTTGAAAAACCGGGGGAAAAAAAAAAAAAAAAAAAGCCATTAATGTCAGATGCCCTGGTGCTGGAACCACTCAGCACATGTCCTGGGAACTGAACTGGAGTCCTCCACAAAAGCAATATGCACTCCTAGCTACTGGGATGGAGCTGACTGGATCCTACAACACAAGCTATGTGGGCTGTCGAAGGTTCTCAAGGCCTTTGCAGTTCAGACTGGGAGTGAACCCAGGTGGAGGACATGGAGCTATAGGGTTTGATTTACGTTGATGACTGTTGATTACACTTTGATTTGATTGTAACTGTGTCTTTCTTTTTGCTGTCTCATATAAGTTTTCATGTGTATGACTGTTTTGCCTGCATTAATGTCTGTGCATCATTGGCATGCCTGGTGCCCAAAGAAGGTAGAAGGGGGCATTGGATTTCGGGATTGAAATTTCAGGCACTCTGAGCTGTCATGTGGTTGCCAGGAATTTGATCCAGTCTGATCCAGGTCCTCTCCAAGAGCAGCAAGTGCTCTTAACCATTGTGCCATCTCTCCAACACTCACTCCCCTTATCCTCTGCAAGAACAAAAAGTGCTATTGGCTGAGTTCTCTCCACAGCCCCAACTGGAGTTTATTTATCTGCTTATTTGGTTTGGGTTCTGTGGGGTTTTTTTTTGGGGGGGGGGGACATGTTGAGACATGGTCCCACTGTAGCCTTAACTGCCCTGGAGTTCCCTTTGTAGACCAAGCAGGTCTTGAACTCACAGAGATCTGCTTGTCTCTACCTCCCAAGCGCTGGGATTAAAAGCGTGTGTCACCATGTCCAGGACTAAATTGTATTTATATTGTGATACTGATATTAATATGACGGTTGGGATAAACAAGGGTTATTAATTTTTAAAGTGTTTATTGGTTTTGTTTAGGCTTATATTTTGTTTGTTTGTTTTTGAGAGTCTATCCTGGAACTATATAGAACAAACACCCTGTCCTCAAATTCACAGAAATCTGCCTACCTCTGGATCTTAAATTCTGATTAAAGAATTTTTTGGTTTGGTTTGTTTTTCCAGACTGGATTTCTCTGTGTAACAGCTCTGGCTGTCCTGGAACTCACTTTGTTGGCCAGGCTGGCTTCAAACTCAGAGATCTGCCTGCCTCTCTCTCCCAAGTGCTGGGATTACAGGCATGCACCATCACTGCCCAGCTAAGAATTTTATGTGTGGGTGTTTCGTCTGCTTACGTCTGTGTGCCACATGCATGCAGCACCCATAGAGACCAGAAGAGGTGTCTGATCCTTGAAACCGGAGTTATAAATGGTTGTAAGACACTGTGTGGGTACTGGGAATCAAACCAAGATCCAGCTAGTGTTCTTAACTGTTGAGCCATCTCTCCAACTCCGGTTATTATGTGTCTCATCAACAAGGGGTTATTTGTGCTATTTAGTTGTTGTTTGTTTTTGATCAACTTTGCAAATTAGTCATCTAGGAAGAGAGAACAATTGGGAAAAAATGCCTCCATCAGATTGGCTGGAAGGCAAGTCTGTGGGGGCCTTTTCATGACTAATGATTGATGTGGTTGTCCTTGTCCTTAGTTAATATATTTTTTTTTAAAGCAAGCTGAGTAAAAAGCAAGCCAGTAAGCTGTATTTCTCTCTCTCTCTCTCTGTTTTTTTTTTTTTTTTTTTTTTTTTTTGGTTTTTCCAGACAGAGTTTCTCTGTGTAGCTTTGGAGCCTGTCCTGGAACTCGCTGTGTGGACCAGGCTGGCCTGGAACTCACAGAGACCAGCCTGTCCCTGCCTCCTGAGTGCTGGGAATAAAGGTGTGCACCACCACTGCCCAGCAGTGTTCTTCCATGGCCTCTGCTTCAGTTCTTGCCTGCTGATTCCTGCCCTGACTTCTTTCAGTGATAAGTCTGGGACCTGGGATGTATAAGCCAAATAAATCCTTTCCATAAGTTACATTAGTTAGTATTTTTTTTCAAAGACACTGAAAACCAAATTGGAACATCTATAGCATTCAAAAAGTCCTTAATTGGGTTTGAGCCCCAGTAACACATAAACAAGGTAACAAGGTGTGATGACAGAAGCCTGTAATCCTGGCACTCAATAGGTAGGGACTGGGGGACCGGGGGGGGGGGGGGGGGTCAGAAGTTCAGTTATCCTTGGCTATGAAAAAAGCATGTTTGAGGCCAGCCTGGGCTACAGGAGACCCTGACTAAAAGAAAAATTAGTAAATATTTATTTAACATACTGTTCCAAAGGTCACAATCCACAGTTGGGTGGCTCTATAGCTTTATGATGGCCAGGAAACAAAGACAAGAGGATGGAACCAATGGTAACATCTAAGCATACCTCCAGTGACCAATTCCCTTCACATAGGTCCTGCCTCTCCTAAGTGCTCATCACATTTGACAGCATATCAAATCATCATGATATAGTCCCTTTCCTAAAGCCCCAACTTAGAGTATTGCTATGTTGCAAACCAAGCTTTACATATGATCCTTGTAGGGCTCAAATTCAACTCTCTTCTTTAATCTCCCCCTTTGTACTATTATTAGGGTGGGGGTACTTTTTAAGGCAGGGTCTCACTTTGTAGCCTTACAGAAACCCACCTGCCTCTGCTTTCCAAGTGCTACCTTTGTAACTTTATTAGACGCCTTACACTTGCAGGTTCATTAAGTAGCCCTACAGCTTTCCAGACTATTTGACCACATTTCCCTTTCATTTCTCTTCCCTGTCAGGGAAGTGTCTCTTTTTCTTTGAGATAGGGTCTCATGTAGTTCAGACTTGCCTTTTATTTGCTATGTAGCTGAGGATGCCTGAGCTCCTAATCCTTTTGCACCTACCTCCCCAAGCACTGATACTGTAAACTTTACAAATAACTATTTCACAGCTGGGCTGTAGCTCAGTTGGCAGAATGTTTACCTAGCATGCAAGAGGACCTGAACTCAATCTCTAGTACTGCATAAAACCATGAACGGTGTCGTGAACAGTCTATAGGAGGAGGAAGAAAGATTACAAGCTATAGGCTTGCCTAGACCATGACTCAAAAACTGGGGAAAAAAGTAATGATCTTGTTATTGTAACAGCACCCTAATATCATGTTTGGCTAAGCAAGTTGTCTACATGCACAACTCTCCCTCCTCCCTTGCGTCCTTTCCTGCCAACCTTCCCAGATGGCCAGTGGACCCCATTTCTTCCAACACTGCAGAAAGTCAATTTCTCTGTTTTACATCACTTTTCTAAGCAGACAAGCACTGTACAGCTCTGTTCCATGGCTGCTGCCTCACACAGCATCTTCCAGCTACTCTCTCTATAGCTCCTTCTGCTGCAACCACTCCAGCCCTGGGACCATTGCACTCTGCACTTTTTGTAAGCAGGTTCTTCCCTGATTCCAGAGCAGCCTAACCAAACTCATCACCAATGGAGAACACCTGGCTTGTTTCCTTCAAGTGGGCTATAAGGTCCACCATCTTGAATCATAGAGGCCCATGATCACTTATAGGTCTTCATGAGATCTGGCCTGTTAACAGCCTCTCATGAAAGAAACAGGGAGGCTCACAGGGCTCATGAGCTCTTCTTTCAAGCATTTTCCCCTCACTTTCCCCCCTTCAGACAGGGTTTCAATATGTAGGTTTGGCTGTCCTGGAACCTTCTATGTATAATATCAGGCTGACTTAGAACTCAGAGATCTGCCTACCTCTGCTTCCTCCAGAGTTTTTTTTAAGACGCGAGGACACCAAGTGTGGTAGTGTGAATGTAATTGACCCCCAGAATCTCATAGGGAGTGGAACTATCAGATGTGGAGTTGTTGAAGGAAGTCTCACTGTTGGATGAGCCTAGAGGTCTTTTGCTTAAGCTTGGCTCAATTTCAGTTTTTTTCCTGTTGCCTGCAAGATGTAGGACTCTCAGCTCCAGCACCACGTCTGCCAGCACACCGCCACGCTCTCCACCACGATGATAATGCACTGAACTTCTGAAAGGGTAAGCAAGGCACCCCAATGAAATGTTTCCCTCATAAGAGCTGCCATGATCATGGTGCCTCTTCACAGCAACAAAAACTCTAACTAAGACAATTAGGTATACAACCAATGTCCTCTGCTGTTCTCCTTACATAGATACACATGCTTGCACATAGGTGTGTACAACACACAAACAGAAACAATAGGAATTTCAGCGAAAGGGTGTTACTCAAAAGTACAGCACTTGTCTAGCATGTACAAGGCTTTCCATCTGATCTCTAAAAGTTGCAAAGATGAGTAAGTAAATAAAATAAAAACAATTTAGGAACTAGCAAGATGGCCCATTGAATAACAGCACTTGCCACCAAGCCTGATGGCTTGAGTTCAACCCTGAAAATCCACATAGTGACAGAACTGATTCCTACAAGCTGTTCTCTGACCTCCACCCTCCATATATGTGCCATGGATCATGTACCCCCTCCCCATAAAAAAATAAATAAATAAAATTATCAAACAAAAGAAAACACAGTGCTCCGGTTTATCTCTCCCTTTTCCAACTAGGTAAGAACATTCTTCCCCTACACAAGTTTTTTTTTTTTTTTTTTTTTTTTTTTTTTTATATAACAGTTTAGTTTCAAAATCTACAAACTATATTTATATTAAAAACTGAAATGTCAAGAACAAAGAATAATACAGGGTCCAAAAAAAGCAAGGTAAGAGGTAGTCAACACATCTGTCTACCTCACCAGTTCCAGAGTGCAGCACGCTTGACCACAGCAGCCCCCACAAGGCTGCACCAAGAAGACACAATACCCATGTGGTCTAATAGTCACTATGGAGACAGTACCCAGACCACCACCAAGATAGCTTTCCTCTTCAAAAGCCAAGCCATGAGTGTTGGCTCACACCTGTAATCCCAGCACTTGGGAGGCTGAGGCAGAAGGCCTGTCAGGAGTCTGAGACTTCAGAGTGACATTGTATCTCAATAAAGGAAACTCTACAAAAGCGGCCCAAGCATCTTCTGCAACTGCACTCCTGTGTGAGGCTGACCAGGCAGGGCTGTGGTGCCATTCTGTGCCGTCTCGGGACCAGGTGTCTGAACATTAGTACTGGAAGCTGCGCTTGGTCTGGATATCATCAAGAATCTGCTGCAGTTCCTCATCTTCAAAACGCCCTTCCAGGCTGCAAGAAGACCAATAAACGTAGGTGACTTAGCAACTGCCAGTTTTCCCACGCTGTTTTTCAAAGAGGGTTCACACCTGAGTGCAGTGCTCTTAGCTCTACCATCTTTAAGCTGATTCCTTTTCAATATTCCCCTATAGAAAGAAGCACTAAAAAGTGCAAACATAAAAATTATTTTTTAAAAGCCTCAACAGTTACATATGCCTTAATGTTTTGTTCTGTTTATTTTAGTTAGGCTTGATTTTTTGAGGCAGGGTCTCATTATACAACTACAGTTTGCCTGGAACTCAAAGATTGGCCTGATTTTCTTGGATTAAAAGCACAAACTAGTAGGCCCTGCAATGATTCATTTTTAGTCATTCATTTGTTGACTGACCGGACTGTGTCCAATAGCAGTTATCACCAATACCACACTAGCGAATACTGGAATACCCTTCTGGGTAATGGGAATTAGTCACATTGATTTTACCAGACAAAGTATAATTGCTGTGCTCCTACCTGCAGTGTATGAGAATTCTGGCTGTTGCTTACGCTCCTTTGTGAGGTGCTGGGAGAGCAAACTCAGACCCTCACCCACAATACGCAAGTGCTCTGCCACTAAGCCACACCCCTAGCACCTTGTTCCATGTCCTTCCTATCAGCATGGTATAAAAACATCAGGCTGGCACGACGGTAAAGCTGGTAAAGGTTGCTCACCACCAAATCTAAACCTGAGTGTGATCCTGGGAACCTACATGGTAAAAGAAAACTGACTAGCCCAAGTCGTCCACTGATCTTCACATGCCTAATGCGACACACATGTGCATGCACGTCCACACATACACAAACAAAAAAAATCAATGTAAGAAACTCAACTGTTGCTGACATCTGCAATCCCAGCTCTTGACAGGTGGAAGCAGGACAACCAAGAGCTCAAGGACAGCCTTGGCTACCTGAGACTGCCACCAACAGAGAGCAGAACCAACCCCCACTCATCTCTCAAACACCATAAAATTACATTCTTCTTCAGGGCTGGCATGCCACCACCCCAAATATCAAATGCACACAACACTTGGATCTGGCAATCTGACTTGAAGAAACCTATGAAACACAGACAAAACTTGTCCCACCCAGTACTGACCTTGGAATCAGAGCTTTGGACTCCTCAGCAGTCTCTGGGCAAAGATTGGCTAAACAGGCCAACTCAAACTTATGGAGCTTTTTCTGGAGAAGCAAGCTGATTGTAGGGAAAATAAAAACACAGGAAGACAAACAATAGAGTAGGAGTGAAAAGAGAGCAGTAATGGGGAGAAATTAGTATGATCAAAATATATTCTATATTTGTATAAAAATATCAATGTCACAATGGAACACATTACTATGTACTATTAATATATGCTAATAAGAAACAAAAATGTCAACTGTCAAACAATGATCAATAGCAAAAAAGATCAAATGTAGGTGAGAAAAAATATTTGCAATCTTTGATTAGGTCATGGAGGCAACAGAACCCCCCTTCCAATCACTTCCTATTCTTACCCCTGAAAAAAAGTTCCACAAAAAAGGAAACAAGCAAAACCAGCAGGCAGAGCCAAGGAAACTGAAGAGAGCATAGCAGGGTAAAGAGTCATCCACTGTGTTAGAGAGAGATCACACAGCAGCTAAGAGCATTCACTGCTACTCTTTCAGAGGGTCCAGGCTTGGTTCCCAGGACCCACATGGTGGCTCACAGCTGCCTGAAATTCCAGTCCTGGGGATCTGATGCCCTCTTCTGGCCTCTGTAGGTACTGCATGGTACACAGAAGTACAGACAGCCTTACACACTGGCAAAACACTCTCAATATAGGTCGGGTGTGGTGGTGCATGCCTTTGATCTTGGGGATGGGGGATGGCAGAGGCAGGCTGATCTCTGTGAGTTTGAGGCCAGCCTGGTCTACAAAGTGAATTCCAGGACAGCCAGGGCTGTTACACAGGAAAACCTTATCTCAAACAAACAAACAAACAAAACAAAGAAAAAGCACCTCATAAGTAAATGTTGTCTTTTAACTTATTTTTAGTACTCACCTGCGAACACTGGCAATGGTCTCCCTGTTTTTGAAACGACTGAAGCGGGCTGTATAGTTTAGGGTTTTCATGAAAACCTCTGAAAGTTCCTGCTCGTCTTCTGCACTCTCATTCTGTTGTTTTCGATGCTCCAGAAGCATGTGAACTTCAGAGTTTAGAAGAGTCTCAGCTGTTTCAAACTCTGCAAGAAGAGTAACTGTTAACTGAAAGTACTCTTTTAAAAGCATGCCTTTGCCAGTCAGTGGTGGTTCACACCTTTCTTTAGTCCCAGGATTTGGGCAGCAGAGACTGGATGATCTTTGAAACGGAAGTCAGCCTGGTCTATATTATTAGTGAGCTGCAGGAAAGCCAGAAACACATAGACTCAAAAACAAGCAAACCAAAAAAAAAAAAAAAAAAAAAAAAAACCAAAAACAAAACCAGAGGGTTAGAGAAATGAGCATGTACTCTTGCAAAGGAAGTTCAATTCACAGCACCCACATCAGACAACTCACAGCACCTCTGGCCTCCTCAAGTACATACCACATAATAAAAATAAAAACAAATCTTCAAACACTAACATAAGGGCTGGAGGGAGGGCTCAGCACTTAAAAGAGCACTGGCTACTCTTCCAGAGAATCAGGGTTCTGTTTCCCAGCACTCATGTGGTAAGCTCACAATCACCTCTAAATCCAGTTCCAGGGAATCAAATGCCCAGTTATGGCTCCTATGGGCACCAGACATACATACACATACGGACATGTATGCTGGCAAAACATCCTTACATGCAAGCTGACTAGTTGGATCAACCAAACTGGTGAGCTCTGGGTTCAGCAAGAGAGTATGCCTCAAAAAATGAAAAATAATCAAGGAAGCTATTCAACATCAACTCCAGGCCTCTATAAGCACCTGCACAAGAACATATGCCCACATATATGTACATAACGTATACATATACACACAAACAATAAGTTAATGTTGCCATCTGGGCTGTAGCTTGGTTGATAGAATGTTTCCTCAATATGCACAAAGCCATAAATTCCATCCACAGCACCTGGGCACATTGGCTGTAATCCCAGCATTTCTGATGCCAGCCTGGCCTACATTCCAGGCTAGTCAGTGCTATGTGAGACTCTGTCTCAAAAAATGGGTGTGCAGGAGCAAGGGCATCATCCATAGAGATGACTTAGTAGTTGAGAGGACTTAATGTTCTTGCAGAGAACCCAATTCAGTTCCCCACAACCAGTTCAAGTGTACACTGCCCATAAATCCAGCTCCCGGGCGATGTGATACCTTTGGACTCCATAGGCACCTGGATATACATGCTTGCTTATGTGCATGCTCCTGATCATGCCTGCACATGCGCACGCAAGCACACACAGACACAAACACCTAAGTTTTCAGTAGACACTTGGTTACAAATATCAATAAGATTTGTTATAAACAGGGTCTGGGAATGTAGCTCAGTTGACAGTGTCTAGTACACACAACAACCTAGGCTTAAACTCAAGAGGTGGTGGCACAAACCTTTAATCTCAGTACTCAGGAGGCAGAGACAGAAGGATCTCTGTGAGTTTCAGGCCAGCATGGTCTACAGAGTGAGTTCCGGGATAGGCTCCAAAGCTACAAAGAAATCCTACCTTGAAAGTTAAAAAAAAAAAAAAAAAATCCTAGGTTTAATTCCTAGCAGCATGGAAGTAGAGGCAGGAGGACACCAAGTTCAAGGCCATCCTTGCCTACTTACCTAGTTTAAGGCCAGTCTGGGCTAAATGAGACCCTGTCTCAAAACAAAACTCACAAGAGCACAGCACAAATCTTGGGGTCTTACTGTAATGCCCAGGCTAGCCTTGAACTCTTGGGCTCAAACTATTCACCTACCACAGGCTCCAAGTAGCAGGAGCAGGGTACTATGCCCAGCTGGTGGCACACATTTATTCACTGAAAAGCAGGCACCAGTCATCCCAGACTGGAACCCATCTTGCGCCCAACCATTCTTCATAACTCAAAAATATAAAGAGGGCCCAGAAACAGCATCTTTGCTCAGGGGCAATGCACTCTTCTGACCTACAGGCCTTGAAATGCTTTTGACTAGCTCTGTGATGGGGCCATAGCTCAGCTTCTGCCAGTTGCCAATTTAGAATTAAGATCTTTGCTCCAGGGCGGTGGTGATGCAAGCCTTTAATCCCAGCACTTGGGAGGCAGAGACAAGCGGATCTCTGCGAGTTTGAGGCCAGCTTGGTCTACACAGCGAGTTTCAGGACAGGCTCCAAAGCTCAAAACAAAACAAAACAAAGACCTCTGCTCCAGATCTGTCTTTTGCATGCCAATAAATGGAGATAAATACCCCTAAATGTCAAGAGCACATGCCCTTAGTTTCAGCACTCAGGAGAATGGAGCAGGAATGTGACAAACTGACGACCAGCCTAGGATACATAGCATGAAACTCTGGGAAAAAAAAAAAAAAAAAAAAACTGCCGGGTGTGGTGACGCATGCCTTTGATTCGAACACTCACAAGGCAGAGGCTGGCTGACCTCAGTGAGTTCAGGGCCAGCCTGGTCTACAATATGTGCTGCAGGCCATCAAGGACTACAAGTGAGACACAGTTTCAAACAATAAACAACAACAAAACGGTAGCAAGTGGAACTACGAGAGTACGATATGTGGCCATCCAAGATTCCAAAACTCCGAGCGTGTAATCTATTAAGAAGGACGTTTCTCCAAGGAATTAACTGAACTTCGCAAGGGCTCCTCTGTGCCATGCAGACCAACCCCGTGTGTATCCCTTGGTAATCCTGCGCCGTGCCAGGGTTAAGGCTAACCAGGGAGCGGATGACGACTGTAACTCAAGGACCATGTCACCTCGGAGCCGAGCAGTAGCGGGTCCCACCTTTGGGAAAGATGAGCTGAGAGGCGTCTTCTTCTACGTCGCCAGCCCGGGGATCGCTGCCGCCAGCCGCCATTGCTTTGGGATGTACCGCCACAGACACCACCGGAAACGGAAGCCGCGAGGGCGGGCTGCCCACCAGGCGAAAGAACCTATCCGGTTCAGGGGCGGGGCCAGGTGGAGAGGGCGGGCCCTAGGGAGGCGGAGCCGGCCGGGAGGGGTAGGTCCTGCGGGGAAGGCACTGGAGGGAACCCACGAGCTGGCCTCACCGCGCGAGGAGGGCGCTCAGGACGCAGTCCTGGTGGCTCCCGGTCGTTGGAGGGGGTTCTGTACTGCCGGTTTGGAGACAGCTCTTTATTTTCTCCAATACACCCACCCTTGCCGTGAGTCCTGGGATGGCCACCAAGCCGGTTCAGGAGAAAAGGATTAAGTGAAGTGCAGGAATGAACAGTGATTGACCCAAGGAATGGCCTATGATGGGAAGCTGGGTAGGTGACTACAAACACATATTGGAATATCTTTCAATTATTTGACTATGTAAAAAAACAAATTGATTAACCCGATGTGGTGGTCATGCATTAATTTACTGGGCAAGAAGATAAAGAGTTGAAGGAGATGGGTGTGTAGTGGCAGGTGCCTTTAATCCCAGCGGTTAGGAGGCAGAGACAGGAGTTCAAGGATAGCCTCTTCTACATAGTCATAGTTTCAGGACAGCCACAGCTACAGAGTGAGACCCTGTCTCTCAACAAAACAAAAACAACGTTCAAGAAGAGCCTTGGCAGCCTGAATACGTGGCTCAGTGGTTAAGAAGAAAGAGCTTTGGCTAAATAGCAAATCCATGATTCCATACCAATTTAGGCTCCATATTATCCTGTTGCAAAACGGGGAGGGGGTGGGTTAATGGTTTCTGCTCTATTTAATAATTCAGAGCAAGTGAACTCTAATATTGAGGATCCTTTAGTGTGTTTGTTGGGACATTTGAATGGTAAGTAGAAAGTTAAAGGGAAAAGTGATGCTATTTTCAACACAAGAGAAAACACATGTTTGTACAATAAGAGGAGAAAATCTTCCCCAGCACTGGGCTCATTAGGAAACAGTAGTAAACTCTGCTAACTTAATAAAAAATGGATTGAAGGGGTTGGCAGATCACAACCATGTATATAATTGCAGTCCAAAGGAATCCAATGTCTTCTGGAAGGCAGACATACAAGTAGACAAAACACCCATATAAATAAAATAAATAAATAACTCTTAGAAACAAAACCATAACACTTCAGAACACATGCTGGGCCTTACCAAACTCCTGCAAAGAGACTGGGCGTCAATGGCAAATGCCTTTAATCCCAGCACTCATGAGGCAGAGGCAGAAGCAGGCAGATCTCTGTGAGTTTGAGACCAGCCTGGTCTACAGAGCTAGTTCCAGGACAGGCTCCAAAGCCACAGAGAAACCCTGTCTCGAAAAAGAAAAAAAAATCCTGCAAAGATATCCAGGACAATAGCTCATGGTCATACTGTATCTAGATAGGTAGAAATGGGCTTGAAATTCAGTACATACACAGGTAGAGAGAGAAAGACAGAGAGAACAGGAGAGAAACCAAAAATATAAACTAATATTTCACAGGTTGGCTTATTTAATACATTTTCATTCAAGAAATCATTATTAGCCATCTGTAAGGCCATGAGGTTAAAATGGTGAGTTAAGTATAAATCTGTTCTCAAAATGAGCTCACCAACTGTAGTTGATGAAATATCTGACAAACGATGTAATGGAGTTAAACAAGGTGCGAAGGAAAGATAGGGTCTAAAGTTGGGGTATGGTTTAAATGTATCCCCTAAAGGTTCCTGTATTGGAAGCTTGATTCCTCTACACTTGGAAGTCAGAACTGGTGGGACCTTTAAAGGGGGGGAACTGGACCTGGGGAGACGTTCAGGCACTTAAAGTGCTTGCCTTGAAAGTATGAGAACCCACATTTCATCTGAAGGAGAGTTTGGGGAATAAAGGTGGACAAGGAAAGAAAAAAAGCAGACTCCCTTGTTCTCAGAAGACATTAGAAGAAACATCAGGAAAGCATGGAGACAGGTATCTAAACAGGACCACCCATAATGGGATAGGGAGATTCCAGGGGCCCTATAAAATACTCAATTAAGAATCCATTTAGGAATCCTGACCTGGGTTTCTCCTATTCCTAAGGGAAAAGGTGTTACTTTTCCCTTTCTCCACGGCTCAGTCTTATGTCTTTCCTAGGTGTTTACATTCTTTGTTCATACCAGGGAGTGAGCTTGATGGCTAGATGACCACCAGTGCCCTTGTTATAGATCTTGGAACCTACACAAAGTGCTCATAACCCAAGCCCTGGGGAGAAGGAAGATAGATACAATCCCTAGGGCTCACTATCCAGTCAGCCTAACATAATTCTAAATCAAGGATGCTGAGAGACCTCACTCAAAGGAACCAGATGACATTCTTCCAAGGCTGTTTTCTGTACATGGATGTAAGTGTACACACACAGAGAGGCAGAGATATGGCTCAGTGGGTAAGGCACTTACTACCAAACCTAAGGAGCTGAGTTTAATTTCCTGTATCCATGTGATGAAGGAGAAAATTGACTCCCAAAAGTTGCCCTCTGACCTACATACATGCACCATGGTGTCTGAATCTGGGTGTGAACACACAAAACATATTTTGAAGGTTTTAATGATTTGTTTTAAAAAGAAGTGATGCCCTTAGACCACTGGAACATACTTTTAGGAGGAATTAATGTTAGGACTCTTTGAACAACAGACTCTCTGAGTTTCATATTTGCCATGTATTTTCTCCCTCTTATATCCTCCATGATGCCATGTGTTGTGAGGTCCTTGACAGAGCACCATGCCCTTCAGCCTCCAGAACTGTAGGCAGATTTTTTTTTTCTGTGTCCTAGCAGCTGCTCTCAAATAACCACTCAGAGACTTAATATTAATTACATTCTCAGCCAATAGCTCAGGCTTGCTACTAGCTAACTCTAGAACATTTTAAATTGACCCATTTCCATTCCTTCACTTGCTGCTATGTGGCTCATTGCTTGTTACATCATTTTGTACACACCCTGCTTCCTCTGCATCTACCTCGAGACTCCTCAGGCTCTGCCCTTCTTCCTCCCAGCATCTCTTTGTTCAAAATAAAATAAATAAAAAATCCTGCCTAGATATTGACCAATGAGAGCAATATGTATTTACAGTGTACAGAGATTGGTTCACAGCATATCTCCCGTTTTGTCTAGTTAAAAAGCAAGGTTTTAACTTTAACATAGTAAAATTATATGCAACAAAACAGTTATCAAGTAAGAATTATAGTTACAATATCCAGTCCATTTGTTGAAGACAGGTTAAAGGAAGTCCACAATTACCCAGATAAAGAATTAACAGGGCTAGACACAGTCAGAGTTTCTCTGTATAGCTTTGGAGCCAGTCCTGGAACTTGCGTTGTAGACCAGGCTTGCCTCAAACTCACAGAGATCTGCCTGCTTCTGCCTCCAAGTGCTGGAATTAAAGGTATGCACTACCACCACCCAGCTTTTTTTTTCCTAATTATGCATTATTTTTAAAATGAGCTGTATAAGCACAATACCCCAAACAAGAGTAGAGACATACATATCACATAAAAAACTTTGCATCATTAAACCAAAATTCATGCCAATGTAAAACATTTTGAGAGTTAAAAGTGATTAAAGTAGATTCAATAATCTACCCTCTTATCTCATTATTTCTATATGATATGCCTTTTTTTCATTTAGAAAGAGATCTTTGAATTTAGCTCTTTTGTTTAGAGTTTTTTTTTTTTTAACTATGATCAATAACACTTGTAACCAACAACCTCCCTTAAATGATGACAAACACCCATAACCCATAATCAATCTTTTGGGAATGTGGAAGATTTTTTTTCTAGACTGCTTCCTGTTGTCTGAGGTACTGGCATCTTTGAGAGACACTGAGAAAATTTAGGGTGATGGTTAAGTCTTGGTTGGAGTAGTTTTTGAGGTTGGACCATCTCAGCCAACAACCTTGAAGCTGATCTGGATGTAGAACTCTGAGGGAACTGCAACAGAGGCCAGATCACCTGAGCCTTGTTTGGCACCTTGTTATGAAAATATATAAACTTTTAAATCTAATACAGTACAAGTATGGAATATGTGATATGTGTAAGTCTGTTAGAGATGACTTTTTTGTTTTATGTTTGAGCAGGTAAAATATACATCCTGTATCTTGTAGTTCTTCTAGGTTTATTTCTTTGTGTTTGTAGTCAGGATGTTCAGGGGGTCTTCCCCAATCAGACCTGATCCATATCAACCTGGAATGAATCCACAGCCTCTCATCTCCTGTGGAAATAAAAGCATAACCTATTCTCCATAGTAACATATATTTTGACTTTTGTTTTGAAGTGAAGACATTTTAAAAATATATAGGTGGGTTTAGTCTAGCAGTTTTCATAATCTTAGCAACTGTCTTTCCTTCATTAGCAATCAGAAAATCTAAAGATAATAGCATACTGACTCTGTTTATTTCACATATTTATATGGTTTATTCTTTTTTAACTCTATTCCTTTTTAAGGACTTTTAAGGACTTTACTGTTATTTTTAAACTACTTTTTCATCTATGTCTGACTCTACCCTTTCTCTTTTCTCTCTCAAGCCTATGCATTTTTTAAAAACACACTATAACCAGTTTAGAGGGGTTTTCAGTCTGAATCTGTCTTTCTTGAGCATCTGTATTGTTTCTTGATCACATGAGACACATCTTAAATTGCTATGTCAGTTGCCACCAGTGTCCCTTAGCTCAGTGGATGGCAGTAGCACATGGTGGTTGGAGGCTGGTGACATCCAGCGGGAAACTGCTAGAAGACTCATCTTGGTACTGCAGCCTTTATGAAAGACATGAGCTCTGCTCTGTTTTTGTGTGTTTAGAACATTTTTTAAGCTTTTTAAGGTTTTATATGGATGTAGGTGCTAAACACTTGGGCACCATTTGTATGCAGAGCTTTTTGTGTTGCCAGTCAGTTCCTAACTACCCCAGAGATCCATTATTCTTCTTCTTCTTCTTTTTTTTTTTTTTTTTTTTTGTTTGTTTTTTGAGATGATTTCTCTGTGTAGCTTTGGAGCCTCTCCTGGCACTCACTCTGTAGGCCAGCCTGGCCTTGAACTCACCTGCCTCTGCCTCCCAAGTACTGGAATTAAAGGCATGTGCCACTGCCTGGCTACATTATTAATTATAAATGTTTGGCTGATAGCTTTCTTGTACACTGTAAATATGTATTGATCTCATGGTTAATATTAGCTGGTAGCTAGTCAGGATTTTCAGGGCAGAGAGAATGCTGGGAGAAAGAAGGGTGGAGTCAGAGAAGTCGAGAGCCAGATGCAAAAAAAGCAACATGGGAAGTTCATAGATGAGGTAATCTAGCCTTAGGGCAGCACATAGATTCATAGAAACTGGTTAATTTAAGTTGTAAGAGTTAGTTACTAATACGCCTGAGCTATTGGCTGAGCATTTATAATTAATAATAAGCTTCTTTGTGGTTATTTGGGAGCCATTGCTGAGACACAGAGAAACTCCACCTCCATAGAGCTATGGGTTCTAGAGGGTAATTTTGATCATTAATTCTGAATGTCAGTTTGAATGGCTTTTATCCACTGAACCATCTCCGCAGAACCCCTACCTTGTTATTATCAAGGATTCTGGCATTGTAAAATCTGAGAAATATACTTTTTGTTACCACACAGCATAGCTAAATGTCATCTTGGTTGTTTTAAAAGCATTTTTGAGATTTATTTTATTATTTTGTATGTATGACTGTTTTGCCTGTGTGTATGTCTGTGAACCACTTGTGTGCCTGCTGCCTGAGGAAGTGGTGAGGCTCCATGTGGGGCACTGAGAATTGAACCTGGGTCCTTTGTTCCTAACTGCTGAGCCAACTCTTCAGCCCAGTCATCTTGTTAAGATGGACTCACTCCAGCAAGGATTTGTCCAGCAAGGAGAACTTGTCCTACCACAGTGCTGAAGTAAGTGAACAAGACATGACCTTTACCAGAGAGAGTGACACAGCAGTGTCCTATTACCACATCACCACAACAGGATGGAAACCATCTTGGGGGCAAGCCTCACTGCCTCAAGCTAGGCAGGCCTTAAAACTCCAGATATGATGGGCAAGGTGATATATGCCATGAATGCCAGCACTGGAGTGACAAAAGCAGATAGATCTTTATGAGTCTGAGATCTACATAGTGGCTTCTGGGCCAGCAAAGGCTACCTAGTGACACCCTGTCTCAAACAAACAAAACCTTCAGATCTCAAGCCAGCAAGAGGACTCAGGGGTTAGTGGCATTTGCTGCCAAGCATCATAACCTAAGTGGTCGAAGGAGAAAACCAACTCCCAGAAGTTGTATGCCCTTACAAGTACACACACAGGTAGGGTCACACAAATAAGTAAAATTAAGCAAACATCTCCTGGCTGGGATGTAACTCAATGGTAGAATACTTGCCTAGCATGTATGAGGCCCTGGGGTTAATCCTCAGAAGCACACACTCACACACACACACACACACACACACACACACACACACACACACACACAGAAAATTATAAGAGCAAGAATGTAGCACAAATATGCTTATTGTTTCTCCAGGATCTGGTCTTGTCTGTACTTTAGGTCTTCTGAGTCTGTCTAGCTCATTAACAGTGGGTGGCAGCTCTCTGATAAAGTTTGCATGAATTCTGCAGTAGACTTAGAGCCACATAAAATAGGATCTTGGAGCTAGGGATGTGGCTCAGCAGAGTGCTTGCCTATCATGCAATGCCATATAACAAACATCTGTAACTCCAGGTCCAGGGGATGTGACCCACTCTTCCAGCCCCCTTAGATACTACACTGGGGTGGAGCATGCATCCTGTAATCCCATCAGATGATAATTATATAGTGATTTCAAGGTCATTTTGACATGAGAACTTGTCACCCCTCAAAAGAGGGGAGGAGTAGAATTTGAAGGGCAGTGTTGGCATTTTTCAGCTGTATACCTGTTTGTGAGTTGACCATACTCCAGTCAGTTACCCTAGTAAACTCATCTTTTGCCAAGCTGGATTTATTTACTCTCTGCAACTTCAGGAAGCTTATGTTGACTTGAAACATAAATACTGCCTCCTTCTACATACCCAGGTTCTCCAACAGTGGCTCTCAGCTTATGGGTTAAAACTCCTTTTACAAACCTCTACCTCCAAAAATTTTCACATTACAATTCATAACATTAGCAAAATTACAGTTATGAAATAGCAATGAAAAATAATTGTTATGGTGTGTGTGTTGGGGGGGGTCACCACAAGAAATTGCATTAAAGGATTGCAGCATTGGGGAAGGTTAAAAACCACTGTTCTAAAGCATTTGACACTTGGCCATAGTCCCACTTTATATATGGTACTAACAATTCAGGTGGTGAGAGAGCCATCCAGCCATAGCATTGTGTACTGGACCTTGGTTAAGGAGACTTCCAACAACAGACTGGGGCTGAAGAGATGGCTCAGCAGTTGTCCCTTGCTACACAGTAAGCCTGGAGTTTGAATCTCATTCACAGTCCTGGGTGGGTTGCTTGGGTTTTTTTGTTTTATTTTTGATACAGGTTCTCTATAGCCCTTATCAACTCTCCTGGAATATTGTAAACCAGGCTGGTCTTGAACTGAAAAAGGCTTGCCTGTCTCTCTGCCCCTGAGTGCCAGGATTACAGGCATGGGACACCATGCCCCTCAAGTCCCAGTGTTTTGCCTGCATGTACATGTCTGTGCAGTGTGTGTGTGTGTGTGTGTGTGTGTGTGTGTGTGTGTGTGTGTGTGTGTGTGGTGGTAGTATCTAAGGGAGCTGAAATAGTGGATCACATCCCCTGGAATCACATATGTTTGTTAGCTGTCAAGTGGCATGTGGGTGTTGAAAATCTAAGTGCTCTTATCCATTGAGCCATTTCTCCAGCCCAGATTTTTTTGTTATTGTTTTGGATTTACTCTGTAGCCTATGCTTGTTTGGCATTCAGGCTGACCTTTACAACAATCATTCTGCCTCCTGAAATTAGAGGCATATCAAGTTTTGCTTTTTGTTTTTTCCCATATAGGGTTTCTCTGTGTAACATCCTCTGTCCTGAAACTCTCTTTGTAGAACAGGCTGGCCTCAAACTCAGAGATCTGGCTGCCTCTGCCTGAAAAGTGATGGGATTAAAGGTACTACAGCCAGATTTTTTTTTCAGTTTAAAAAATTATTGATTTATTATGCCTATTGTTCTGCTTGCATACATATCTGCATTCAGAAGAGGGCACCATATTTCATTGTGATGACTGAGCATCCATGTGGTTGCTGGGAATCGAAATCAGGACTTAAAAGAGCAGCCAGTGCTCTTAACTTCTGAGCCATTTCTCCAGCCCATTGTTCTCTTTGAGATAAGATTTCTTTCTGTAGTCCATCCTTGCTTTGAACTCCTGCCTATCTTTCTATAGTCTCCCAAATGCTGGGATTACAGGCATGAGCTACTGTGCCCAGTTTTGAAAGAGCTTTAAGGTAAGCTTATCACCCCTACTCTCAGAAAGACCTACTCTTGTTGTCCTTAGCCAGAGAAAGATGGTCGTTTCTTTTTATCACATATTTAAGCACCTCTAATCCCAAATGATAAGAATCCTTAAATAATCACTTATTTCTGTGAGCATGTATGCGTGCCAGGCCACATGGGTTAAAAAAAAAAAAAAAAAAAAAAAAAAAAAAAAGGCAAAGGCAGAGGACAACTTGCCAGGGTTAGCCCTCTCCTTCAACCATATTATGTCCCAGGGCTAGAAGTCAGGTCAAGTTTAGTGGCAAGCACCTTCATCTGCTGAGCCAAGTCATCTTTAGGTTGTTGTTGGCTTTTTAAGAGACAGGGTCTTTTACTGTGTACTTCCCTAGAGTGTTGGCATTGAAGAATGGCTCCACCACACCTAGGCATAGGGATCTTTTCAATAGGAATAATCTTACTGGGAATGGTAGTGCACACCTTTAATTCCAGCACTTGGGAGGCAGAGGCAGGCAGATCTTATGAGAACCATCAACAAAGAAACAAGGTAACTGCTAATGACTGTTTCAGATATCAAGTCACTTGGTTACAAAGAGGCAGAAGACAGTTTGTATCCATTATGATTTATTCTCTATAATACTTCATTCAAGACTTTGATGACTTGTACTCAGAAGTTATATAGCCAAGAGGCAACCAAGTGGAATACAAATAATTGGTCTGAAGTCTTTGCAGTGAAGGCCATACAGTCTCTTGCTTCAAGGAAACAAAATAAAATTAAAAACATAAAGAACACCGAGTTTTTTAGGCTTCAGAAATTTCAATAGAAAGTAACACCAAGTTAGTGAAATTGTAGATGTTAACATAGTGTGGAAAACATATCTTGTGCAAAATATTAAAACTAACACCCAAGACTTTTGTATAGATGATTTTTATTATAAACAGTAAAATATATGTAACATCTCAACTACAAACCTTTCATGTAGAAAGGGTTTCTAACATGAGTTATTTTAACATTATGAAGCGAAAACGTTTAAGAACCTCACAGTGGAAACAACCCAACACTGACAAACTCTAGTGATCAAAGACATTCGCTTTTAGCTCAGAAAAACAAGGACAATTCATAATTACAGAGTGTGTCCTAGCTGTGGGTATGATGAGACAAGCCAACTTTCCCAGACCAAAAGGCACTCACAGCTAGGGAGGAAACAAATTCCAAACCAAGCCAGCAGAGTCTGGCTGGTTCTTTGATAACAGTGGGGACCTGTTAGTTGGAGCAGCCTACAGTCTAAGGAAACACTGGACAGGAAACGGTCCCTTTCCTCAACTATCACTTACTGGCCCCATACTGGCCACCCTCACCACTGCTCTGGTCAATATGTAGAAGGCAGCTGAGTTCTAGTTCAGAGCATCACTTCCCGATGCAAAGCCCCCATGTGGAAAATCCACACTTGCTGTTATTTCCTGAGAGCCATCTGCCACATGTTCCCTTGAGGAGACCATGACTATGTACTTCCAGACTTCTTCCTGAATGATTAGCTCTGCTCAGGACAGACACCAATAGCGCCCATTTCGTCTGGGCCAAATAGTTTCCTTGCCTGACTCCCTAGTCCCCTTGACAAGGCAAGAGGAACTGAACATTTCCACTGCTGGGCTTCCGTTGAACACGAGGGAATGTGCAGGGAGTAAGGCGGCTTTGCTCCGAAAGCACTGAGCCCACTGAAGTGTGGGGCTGGGCTCTGCCAGCCAGATTCATGTTCACTGATCCCCATCCCTGCCTTCTTGGGCCTTAAATTTTTTTCTGTTCATTTTCTTAAATGGCAGGGTATTCTACTTCACTCTCAACAAAATAAAATACATACTATACATTGGGGAAGACAGGGCAACATTTCTACAAGAAAAACAGGCTTAAGGAGCATGGCACTGTAGATGCTTGCATGACCAGTCTCACCAAGAGTGCTCAGGGGCGAAGTTTAGCACCATTTTTTTTTTTTTTTTTTTTTTTTTTTTGCATTTTGCTTTAAATCTTTAGAAATAAAACACAACTCTTAACATAGAACGCCTGAACAGTAATGAGTGTAGCCCTATGTATCAATACTGTTGTACAAATTGGGAGGTGGGTGGCTCAGTCAAGAACTGACCACCCTGACATCAATCCATGGCACCTGAGAGCACCTGTCATACTTGTCTATAACATCACCTTCATTACCCTCAGCAGCAAGAAGAAACCATGGGACCCCTTCATCTTTATGTATGTGAAGAAACCAAACCTGGCAGTAAGGGGCATGTATCCTGGGCATTGCAATGTAGTCAGCACCTCCCTCATCCTCTCCGGGTCTTTGATCACTGATCACTCCTGGCACAACCAACCCACTCTGCTTAAAAAAAAAAAAAAAAAAAAAAAAAAAAAATCCCAGGAACTTGAGGGTGATGCCTAGAATCACAAAGTACCCCTACTTCCCTTCCTCCATTCCGGGGAGAAGAAACTCAGATGATCTTTTGACTTGGATATTTGCCCATTTTGGAAAGCCACACCATCACATCAATCCTGAAAAAGAAATCAAAGCATATATGCACTGACTGGAGGCCTGATTGCTATGCCTCCTGAGTTCTCTATGAACGGTGCTGAAAGCAGCGTGCCATCCTCAGGAGCTTCTCTTCCAGCTGCCTGTCTCTTCCTTTGAGTTGCCTGAGCAGTGCCTTTGAGACAAAGCTTTCAGAGCACCTCCCCTGGTCTACTAGTGCTATACATTCTGCCACCAAGTGAGAGAAAACAATTTGCTGACAGCTATTTTGGAATGAGTAAAGATGGGAAAGGGAATGTCAAGGGTTTAAATGAGCAACACGAGCAATTGACATTTACACTGGTGAGGTGAAGAGTCCCAGTGTGGCAGGCAAGTTAAAAGGTTCACCTTGTTTTATTACACAGCTTTGTTCTAGAGTCCTACCGAGGACTGATAGATCAAGTCTTCCCACTCCTGCAGGCAAATCGGAAAAAAAGAACCGCCCTACTTAAAGGTCCCGCAGGATGTTTGCCTGTGAAGAAAACCAGCTCAGAGACCCTAGAAGCTCTCCTGTGACAGTCTGTCCTAAAGCCCAGCCCAACCACCTGTTTGCATGTCTGTGCTTCTGAGAACCTAGATGCAGCTACATAGGCACTGCTACCAGAAGAGGGTTGAGGTAGCCGGGTGGTGAGGGAGATCTCTCTTTCACACCTGCTTATGACGGTGACATCAGGACCTGTATGGGCATCTCCATTCCATTCCTCAGCAGGCTATGCCACAGAGCTCTGTTCAACACCAGGAGATTCAGTGCAGGAAGATTACCAGAAAGTCCAGCTTAGAGTCGGGTAAGCATTAAACCTTCACAGCTTATTGCACAATGCAAAGCCATCCAACAGGACTTCTGATGTTGGTGCAGTTCTCTTATCCAGGACTCACAGGGGCTGATGGTGCCCACAGTCAACCCTAACATAGTGTTCACTTATGAAGCATGGAGGTTGTGATCAATTCTTGGTACACAATAAACTGGAAGTTTAAAAAAAGGAATTTAAAACCTATAAGTGGTTCATGTTGGTCTCCGTTGCCCAGACTGCCAGGCGAGTACACCTAATTGGTCTGGTGGGCTGTAGGGAATTGGGGAAGAAGCCTCCATGGATCGTCATCAATTCCAGTTTTCCATGTGTGGCCAACACGTGTGGGAAATCACCAGAAAACGGTCTTCTGAACCCACACAGCCATTCTCACTGGTTATTAGGGAGCCCTGATCCAACAGAACCCCAGACTGAGGAAAGGCTGATATAAGGCTTGGGCCCCTCATGTTCTGTTGCATTCATTGTAACCCCACACCCTCCAGTCAGCAGGAGGCAGACTTGGCAACGGAAGCTAGCATCATAAAATGGTGCAGTAATAGAAGTAACTGGACCAGGAAGAGGAGGCATCTGCTCCAATGATGTCATAGCCATTGGTGGCCACAGGGGGGTGGGACTGGTCATGTAGCCTTGTGTCAGGAGTAATGATTGTAGAGGGGCGGGGCATGAAGAGTGCCATTCTGGAAACAGTGTTGTCGAGAAGCAATATACTCTGCATAACTGATTGTCACCTTCTCACTTCGATACCTGTATGAGGAAACAAGCAAAGATATTAGGAACCCCAGAGGTCTCAGTGTGAAGAGTCACTCAGAGAAAACCAAAAGCTCATCCCACAGTTTCAAAGAATAAAATGGAAGACCAAGAGCAATCTTACAAAAAATGAAAAGACGCACAAGAAAATGATGCTGTTATTACAAATGAACAAGATGAAAAAGCACAATCACAGTTCACCCCTGAGAATGTATCTCAGCACATCCCACCTCAAAACGCTACATATGCTTATCAACAGGCTGCTGGTAAGCAATTTGCTACCAGGATCTTGATGAAGAATTTCAAAGTCAAATTACATGGGTGGCAGATTGGAAGATGGCTGCACCAAAACCCAGTGTAAACTGCGTTATCTACGTTCAGGTTAAAAATGAGATAAATTTGACAGAAATGCAACCTCCATTTGTAGAAGAGCAACAAACAACTTATAACTAAAAGGGGCATAGATACCTAATTCTGGGTCAAATTGTGATGAAGCAGGTTAATGGATCCTTGGCTATAGGAAGGTCTCAATCCCCAGATGAATATGCCATATCACAGGGTCATCAGAACAGAATTCATAGCACTTTGGCTTTGCTCTGGAAAGAGCCATGAGTCAGGATGCAAAGCATGGGTGTTACAAACCTATGGAGCCTACTACAGACCACAGGAGCTGGGTGACAATCCTTACCCAGAGCCATCTCTTTCCCACTGTAATCACTCCTCCACTGCAAGGTGATTATTCCTCAATTTTGACAGGGAAATGGCTGTTCAAATAAATTGTAATAGTAATAATGCTTTGTATTTGCAGTGTTTTTATTTTTAATTATTATTGTTGTTTTTATTGGTTGTTTTCTTTCTTTTTTTCTTTTTTTGGTGCTAGAGATGGAACTCAGGGCCTTGAGCTCTACCACTGAGCTGCAGTCCCAGCCTCTTGATTCTTTTGAGTTTAATGCATTCAAAAACACTGGGTTATCTTCCAAACAGACCTGTGAGGCTAGCATACGATGACTCAGCATTTTGTAGATGAGGGTCCTAGTAAAGGCCCACCAAAGCTAACTTTTCTTTGTTCCCAACATCAGCAGGAAGGGGTAGAACACTGACATTCACTGAATATCTCCAGTGTGTTGTCCTGGCCCTTGGCTGGAAACTCTATACCTTACCTTACAAGGTCTTAAAACCCGAAGGAGTTACAACTCACATCTTACAGACAGGAAACAGTTCAGGGAGAAGAACTAACTGGCCCAGGTTACATAGCTAATAAATAATTGAGCCTGGGGTACAGTCCCAAGTCACTTTGTGTTCCATAAAACCAGCCAGCTTCCTGTAGAAGTACTACACCCCAAATGGGACCCTGTTAGCTCCCTGTAAAGGCCTTTGCTCTCCTTTACTCCCTACCACCTGACTGTACAGTGACCCTGGATTTACATTCCTGGAGCCCTTACCTCTGGCCTCCAACCTCCCCCTTAATGTAACAACCACATGGGTCTGGCAGGCACCCACCCTCCTTGGCAGGGGACTGACCACAGAAACAAAGAAAGCTGGGAGTCTCCACCTCTGTAGCCTTTGCATCCTCAGAGCTCATTATCTCACACAAACTTCTTTGTCTTGGGGTATATAAACACCGTTTTCTTCTCCTTCCCACCAAATATCCTATATTCAACCCCTATTAAAGAAAAACTAACAAAAGAACAGGACAGCAGCTTACCTGGTGAGTTTGATTGACTTTCTGAATTCACTGGTAATTGGAGCCTTAAAGCCACCTTTCCTGAGCAAGGAGTCTATTGTCTGGATCTGATCCCAGTCTGAGGAGAACAGAAGCCATAAGGTCAGCATACAGTCAAACACAGGGGCAGCATGCTCCAAGGTGATCAGTGTAGGAAAGACAATGGGATTTGAGAGACAGCAGAGTGTGCTAGGCCAAAGGAAGCACCAGGCCATGGTCCCACAAACTGGAAGCCAATCAGCTTCACCAACAGGGTCCAGCAAAGACCCTAAGACATGACATTATAACCAAATGTGCCATGACGATGTCCCCAAACTTCCCACTTTCATAGTTCTTACAAGATAATTTTTACCCAAGTGTATTTCTGAAGCTCAGGCTGCTCTAGGAGAAGACAGGGTAGAAAGACAAGGGCTCACTATATTGCCTAAGTTGGGTTCTTTGTTTTGTTTGTTGGTTTGTTTGTTTTGAGACAAGGTTTCTCTGTGTAGCTTTGGAGCCTGTCCTGGAACTCACTCTGTAGTCCATGCTGGCCTCGAACTCACAGAGATCTGTCTGCCTCTGCCTTCCAAGTGCTGAGATTAAAGATGTGTGCCACCAACGCCCAGCTTCTTTTTGTTTTTAAAAAAAGGTTATTATTTTACTTTTAATTTCTATGTATGTGCACACACATATATAATATGTATGTTCATGTGAGGCCAGAAGATAAGTGATGAATCAATCCTCTGAGACTGTAATGATGAGAGCTCCCATGGGTGATGGGAACCAAATCTAGGTCTCTCTCTCTCTCTCTCTTTTTTTTTTTTTTTTTTGAGACAAGAGTCTCTCTGTGTAACAGCCCTAGCTATCCTGAACCTTACTCCATGAACCAGGCTGACCTTGAACCTGGAGAGAGATCTGCTCTGCCTCCCAAGTGCTGGGATTAAAGGTACATACCACCACTGCCTGGCTTTTGCCTGTTGTTTTTTAATTAATTTTTTTAAATGTACATTCATGTTTTGCCTGCATGTATACCTGTGTGAGGGTGTCAGAACCTCTGTAACTGAAGTTATAGACAGTTGTGAGCTGCCATGTGGGTGTTGGGAATTGAAACTGAACCCTCTGGAAGAACTCTTAACCACTGAGCCATTTCTCTAGCCCCAAGTAAGCATTCTTCTTAACTCTGAGCTATCTCTCCTAACCCCACCTAGGCTGATCTTGAACTCAAGTAATTTCTCAGCCTCCTGTGCAGATGGGACTACAGGTATGTATCACTATAGAAAGGGGAATTTATGTGATAATCAAAAACATTATTTTAGGTGTGTGCATGTGTTGTGTGCTTGAGTGCAGATGCGCCAGAGGTGAGAAGCCATCCTTGGAGCTGAAGTTGTAGGCAGACAGAGGTACTGGGAAAAACTTCTGTTCTCTGGAAAAAGAGTAAGCACTCTGAATTGCGGTGCCATTACTCTAGCCCAGCAGGGGAATTTAAATTATGTGGCTTTTACTGCCTCAAGCAGCCTTTCTTCAGGTTGACTGGTGTGACAGAGAACTGACGCCAGTAAGGAAACTGTCTCCTTAGTGAAGAAAGGGAAATTCTTCACCTCCGTATTGTTGGTTCTCTCACTGTTACTCTCTCTCTTTTTTTTTTTTTTTTTTTTTTTTTTTTTTTTTTTTTTAGATACATGGTCTTGTTATGTGTATACCCCAGCTTAGGCTCAAACCCAAAAGGCAATCCTTTTATTTCAGCTTCTTTAATGTCAGGACTTGAGTGTACCATCTGGCCCACCTCAATGTTACTGTATGTCTCTGTGTGTGTCTCTCATATGTGGGTATGTACACATACACACATGATACAGGTGCCCCTGAGCCAGAGTTAATGCTAACTGTGAGTTATTCAAGTTGATGGCTGGGAACCAAACTTTGGTCCTCTGCAAGAGCAGTACACAGTCTTAAACACTGAGCCATCTTTTTGGTCGCTCAATCTTACACATTTTAAACAAATAATGTATATCAAGTTGAACCTCATCCTTCCAATTACCATAGGAGAAACTCCCAAGTTTTAATTTTCTCAACTTTAAAATAGGAGAAACAATTTGATCATTTAACTGAGCTGTAATTCACATCCAACTACTAAAAACTGTTTGATGTTCTTTAAGCATGGTAGATTTATGATCTGACCAAAATGTCTTTAAGAAATTCATTCTCTTTATGCTACATACACACTGTTTTTTGGACAAGTTTAAACACAACCACAATGAAAACCAACATGGCGATCGCTTTCCACATAAGTAGTTCATTAATATACTTAACTGGATATTTTCTCTATTCCAGGGTCACACCCAACAATTACTGTGTTTCACATATTATTTTCAAAACCAGACTAATTCCAAGAAAGAAAGAAAATGGGGTTACATATCATAGAAAGTACAAGAAACAGTTAAAGGAATTCTAGATAGTCTTTCAAAGAGAAAACATGTCCAACCCACATCCTAGCTTTACTGTCCCCATTATAAGAACTCATTAACTACTGAGCTCTTTTTTATGTTTGTTTGAGTCTCTCTATGAAGCCCCGGCTGGCCTGCCAGTCCTATGTAGATCTGGCTGGCCTTGAATTCACAAAAATCCACCTGTCTCTGCCTTCCAAATGCTGGGATTAAAGGCATGTGCCACCATATCTGGCAACTACCTAGCTCTTTAAAAGCAGCAGGGAAGATATTTATTCTTTACAAAATATAACAGCATGTATAGATTTCACAGTTAAAAGTCTAAGACTTTCCTTTGTAACAAAAGATAAAACATGGTCAAGCTAGTTGCTGTGATAATCACTGAAGCTTAAAAGGGCAAAGAAAGAACTTTTCATTGGGAGGAAACATTTGAAACCACAAGCAAGTAAGAAAGTTACCCCTCCCACCATTTCTAACATCTATGTCAATTTGCCTTTGTTCTACAGGGATCTAACAGGAATTTAGAAGAAGAAAGGCATTCATACTTGGTGTACATGGTGGCAGTTGAGCTGAGTATTTCTCTCTCCTGCCCTTTAACTGGCATGGCTGTGAGTAGTACAGTTCACTAAGTGCTCATCTGTCCAACTCACCTTGTTCCTTAGCAACCTCAGGTAAATATGTGGCTGTGCGTTTGATGCCTTTTTCATTGATGAATTCAATCCGAATCCCATGGACCCCTACCTACAAAAAAATGCAACCAAGTACATGGCATTTTCTGATTCTAACAATATTTCAATCACCCGCATATAAATCAACATTGTCTTCTAAGCTGCAGCTGCTTGACCCAGGTCTGGGAAAAGAATTTTTTTTTTGTTTGTTTTGTTTTTGTTTTTTTGAGACAGGGTTTCTCTATGTAGCCCTGGCTGGCCTGGAACTCACTCTGTGGACCAGGCTGGCCTCAAACTCAGATATACCCAATGTCTTTGCCTCCTAAGTGCTAGGATTAAAGGCATTCACCACCACTGCCTGGCTAAAAGAATTTTGTGTGACTAATTATTCTAAAGTATAGAAATGAAAGTAGGCTGTTTTAGGACAAGGTCAAATATATGTGTAGTTGTACCTCCGAGAATATGAGGCTTGTAGAGATAAGTTCTTGAAAGAGGATGCCCTTCTAGCCTAATTCCACTACATGCACATGTCAAATTGTTTCTATATAAATTCATCAAACTGGTTCCCTTTGAATTTTTTTTTTAATTGTCTCACTACAAAGCCCAAGTTGGTCTGTAACTTGCAAAACCCCTCCTACCTCCTGATTGCTGGTATTATAGGCATGGGCCATCATGCACAGGTTCACATCTGATTTCCAATAATAATAAACTTCTCCTGGGATTTGTCAAGAGGCATCTGGGGTGTTTTGTTATCTCATTATTTAACTAGACATGGGAGAAGGATCAGATGGATCTTACTGAACAGAGTGGGCTGGGAAGAAATAGGAGAGAATTTGTTTGTTTGTTTTTTATGGAGTTGGGTGCTCACTATATAGTTCTGGCTAACTTGACCAAGCTGGTCCAGTCCTGGGATTAAAGGTATGTGTCACCACACCTGACTCACAGAAGAGAGTACTGATTTTTCATTTCTTTTCTATTACTAGTTGAGAAGTACCTTTTTTGTCACTCTCACATTCTCAGACCCTCTCTCAATGAAGGAGATACATTACCATGTACTAACCCGAACCCAAATGCAACGAGAGATGCAGAGATCCAAATGCAGCTGTTCTCACCTCCCAGTCCAGGTAATCACTGGCATCTTCAAAGTTAGTAAGGAGGGAGACAGAACAGAAAAGTTTGGGCAGCTCCTCTCGGGTCAGGGGGGGGAATCGGCTGTCCTTAAGTGCACTAGAGGGGACAGAAAATATAAATGAGGCTGCCTCCTTTTAGGAGACAACATTGCATGCTCTACAGAGCCCACATAACTGAGTCCCGAGAGCCTCTGACAGCATCTCCTAGCACCTAATGCTAATGTCAGCATTGACTGTCTCTGCAGAAGCAGATGGGTAACTCACCAGGATATAGTCCTTACATTTCTTGACTACAAAAAAGGAGTGCTCAAACTCTACCAAACATTTTGAAGAAATAAGGCTAGAAAGCTATTTCCAATTCTAGTTCATTTATGTATATTTTCTAATGTTTGTGTCATTACCTGGTTAATGTGTATTCCCTGAGTCCTGAATGAAGATTCATGGCTGAGAAGGTCCCGATGCAGCCACGAAGACGCTTGTCTCTCCCTGTCTTCCAGGTCACAAAGAGAGGACTAAAAAAAGTAAAACATAAAATATTCTCCAGCCCTAGATTAATTATGGATATATTGCTATTCATTTCTGTTACTGCCCACAGGGTTCTGATCTGCCAGCTACCTGAAGCACTGTGCCTTTCTAGAAGTTGCTCAGCCCTGACTAAGAACACAGGAAGTTCATGAGGCAACAGGAAAAGCTCTGTATGTGGAGCCTTTCCTCTGCTCTGTCCTCACAACTTTCATTCACTTACACATCACAACAAATTCTTTTCTTCTTCCTTGCCTTGAACTCAGCTTCACCTGTTTACTTTTCTGGAGATTGTGACACTCAAAAGTTGCCCAAGTGGGCCTCAATTTGAGATATCTTTGCCTCCATCCCCAAAGTGCTAGAATTACATACACGGCATTCTACAACACCCAGCAATCTCCCCTCTTTCCGACTTTTCCATGTCCTCCCCTCCTTTACTCTCCTCTTAGCTACAAGCATTCTCTGCAAGACTTCATTGTTCTCACAATTGTAACTACTGGCAAACTACAAATAGTTCCTACTCATAGACTTTCAGAAGAGAAAAACAATTTCTCAAGAAAGCTTTAGAGTAACAGAATATGCCATTTCTGCTCTTAGGCAAAGTCCCACTTCACTGACTTTATCAGATAAATGTCCTTCTTCCTGAGACCCCTCCACATACTGGTGCTCTCTCTTACTTTTAAAAATCCCCAGTTAGTCAATTCTCAAAGGCAAAGGGAATACACAAAGTTATTCCATCTCTGAGACAGGTCTCACTACATAGCCTCAAACCTAAAGATCTTCCTGCCTCTGCTGAATTAAAGGTGTATGTCACCACATCTGACTTTTTTAAAAATAATTTATTCATATTTTATGTGCATTGGTGTTTTGCCTACCTGTATGTCCGTGTGAGGATGTCAGGTCCCCTAGAACTGGATTACAGAGATTTGTAAACTGTTATGTAGGTGCTGGGAATTGAACCTAGGTCCTCTGAGAAAGCAGTCAGAGCTCTTAAGCACTGAGCCAATTCCCCAGTGCCCCACGCCCCATACCTGGCTTCTTAATATTTTCTTTTTTGTTTTTGTTTTTTCAAGACAGGGTTTCCCTGTTAAACAGTTCTGGCTGACCTGGAAACTCACTCTGTACACCAGGCTGGCCTTGAACTCACAGAGATCTGCCTGCCTCTGTTTCCCAAGTGTTGGGATTAAAGGTGTACACCACCACCCAGCAGCTGAAGTGCCTTTTAAAGCTAGTGCAGAGCTACCTCCACTTTTGAGGAAAAAAAACAATGGCATTTCCTTTCTTCATTTGATCTTATACTGCCTAAACATGCTAGGCTGTGGTTAAAAGGGCTTTGCTGTACATGTGTGAGGACTACAATTTGGATCCTCAGAACCCACATAAATGCCAGTGTTGTGGTGGTGCACCTGATTCTGGCTTCAGAAGGTGGAAACAGTAGATCCCTGGCCAAGCTGGCAAGTTGAGACTAGCCATATCCACCAGTTCTGGGTTAGACTGAGATGAAGCCTGACACAATGAAACAAAATAGAAGAACGCCTGAAGATGATTCTCAAACATCAACCTTGACCCTCCACACATGCATAAAAATGGGTATCTTTAGACATCTTAGGACAACCAACAGAACTTTTGTTAACGAATGAGAGCCCCTAGACTCCAGCTTGGCACTCAGACACTTCTAATTCACATTCACTTAGACTCCACCAACACTACTGAGGTTTCCAATGGCGTGATAGTGTGACTTCACTACCTTAAGCCATGTGAACCACCAGCAAGGAAAATATCTGTTTCCATAACCCTGTAAACAGACCCTGTTAGGAGAGTAACCTCAGAAGGATGTTACCATGCCCTCCATCCACACTGTCCCATGTCTAATTTACTCACTAGGGGTCATTGGTGAATCTAGGAAGTCGAGGCTGTGGGAAGCCATAGAGGTGACAGTAGAGTACATCAAAGCAGTAGCAGCACATCTCTGCAGTCACCACCAGGTTCTTAGTGGTGTTGGCAGTTCCATTAGGCCGGGGGAGAGGGCTCAGGGCTCCAGATGCAGGATTCATTCGTGTGATAGGAGAGTTTCCAGGTCCCAGAGTTAAGTCTGATACGTTTTCCCGACCACTGCTGCTGTCCACATGCTGGTGGTTTTGAAGAGGTCCTGAACTAGAGCCAGGAACAGTTGTGGACTGGTTGCCGTGACTGTGTGTTCCACTTCCAGATAATTTGGGCTTCTTGACCCCACAACAGCCTGCTGCCAACTTGGGCTCAAGGGGAGGAACACAACGTCTTTTTCCCATCCTGATTTGGTGTTCGTGATCTGGAATGCTGCAGAACCCTAACCCAAAAGACAGCAGGTAAGTACTGATTGGAATGGCTCAAGAAAGAACAAAAATCAAACAAAAAGTGTGCATGAATCAGTTAAAAGAGCCAGCATTGGTGGCACACACCTTTAATCCCAGCACTTGGGAGGCAGATCTCTGTGAGTTCGAGGCCAGCTGGTCTACAGAGCTAGTTCTAGTACAGGCTCCAAAGCAATACAGAGAAACCCTGACTCAAGGGGGGTGAGTGGGAATCAGTTAAAAGCTGACAAGGACTGGTAAGATGGCTCAACAGGTAAAGGCATTTGCTGCCAATCCTAATGACCAATATTTGACCCCTATGACTCCCTTGGTGGAAGGTCAGAATTGACTATAGTAAGTTGTCTTCTGACCTTGACACACAGACAATAAATAGCCCACTCCCAAGAAGTGAAAAAATTTCAACAAAGAGACTTTTTTTTTAAGCTATCAATGTTCTTCCTATCAAAAAGTCCAGGTGACATAGTTTTAAAAAAAGGTCAGAAACCCCAAGTTCTAGTCTAGAAACCTCTAATCTTTTCCTAAAGGGTTTCTATAAAAGTATATAGCCACCATGGAGAGAGGCTGGCAATGAATAGCTCTTCCATCCCAAGATATCATCAAGGTCAAAAGGCAGAGACAGGATGCAACTGGTTGAAGGCATTTCAATATCCTCTTTACAAGTTAGGCATGGTGGGTAAGCCTTTAATTCTAGCACCTGGGAGGTGGAGACAGAGGCAGTCTGATCTTCACAATAGTTTACAGGACAGCCAGAGCTACACAGTAAGACCTGTCTCAAATAATAAAACCAAAAACAAATAAATAAATAAGACTTTATAGCCATCCTGAAACTGTGGAGCTTCACATTGTATTTTTCATTTTCTTTGGTAGTGGGTGGTTTTGTTTTTTTAGATAGGGTCTCTCTATATAATCCTGTCTGGCTATTCCTGAACTGTTTTTGTTTGTTTGTTTGGTTTGGTTTTTCTTTTTTTCTCTTTTTCCCCCTCTCAGACAGGATTTCTCTGTGGAGCTTTGGAGTCTGTTCTGGCACTTGCTCTGTAGACCAGGTTGCCCTTGAACTCACATAGAACCACCTATCTCTGTCTCCTGAGTGCTGGGATTAAAGGTACATGACACCACACCTGGCATTATATATATGATTTAGACTCAGGGTTTCTCTATGTGGCCCCATCACTACCTGGCTTCATTAATATTTTTGGTTGTGAGCCTAGCCTTTAATGGCTGAGCCATCTCTCCAGCCCTCATTAATATTTTTAAGAATTTACCTACCACAGCAAGACTTTGATGGCACACGCCTTTAATCCCAGCACTCGGGAGGCAGAGGCAGGTGGAGCTGTGAGTTGGAGGCCAGCCTGGTTCACAGAGCTAGTTCCAGGGCAGCTTTAATCCCAGCACCCAGGAGGCAGAGGCAGGCAGATCTCTGAGTATGAGGCCAGCCTGGTCTAAATAGTCAGCTCCAGGACACCCAGAGCTTTGTACTGAGACCCTGTCTCAACAAAACAAAAAAGGACAATAAAAAATAGTGTCAGTCACTGTTCTATTGATGTGAAGAAACACCATGACCAAGACAACTCTTGGAAATTTATTTGTGAACCTGCTTAATGTCCCAGAGGATTAGTCCACTATCCTCCAGTTACATCCTCATCTCCAGTGACTGGGGCAGGGGTGGGCTTTTGAAACCTCAACATCTACCACCAGGGACATACTTCCTCCAACAAGGCCACACCTTCTAGTCCTCCTAATTCTTCCAAACACCTATACTCCCTAGTGAATAAGCATTCAAATATGAGTCTTTGGTGCTATACACTGAAAATCTGTTGCTGTTATTGGTTTAATAAACAAGTTGACTAGCCAATAGCTGTCAACTATAGAATAATGTTAGGCCTGAGAGCCAAACTGAGAAAGCTTGGAAGAAGAAAGGTGGAGTCAGTAGTCACCAGGAGATGCAGGGAGATGGCCATGCTATACTGAGAAAAGGCACCATGTGGCAAAGCATAGACTAGAAATATAGGTTAATTTAAATGTAAGAATTAGCTAGTAATAAGCCTCAGCTATTGGACAATCATTTATAATTAACATTAAGTCTCCATGTCAGTTACTTGGGAACTGGCAGCTGCAGGAAAGAAACATTTGCCTACACAAGGGGGTCATTCTTATTCAAACCACCATAAATAGTTTAGTGTAGTTACATATACCTGTAATTCCAGCACTTGGAAAGTGGTGGCAGATCAGTCAGGTTTTAATAAATTTTAAGAAAAGTATATCTGAAACCAATTCCTAACTTTAACAGTTTTAAATTATTTTGGTCCTGTTGTTCTTTCCCCCAAAGAATCATTTTTAACTGTGTAATGTGGGAAGGCAGTACAGGTGAGTTCAGTGTTTACAGAGGCCAGAAGATGCCCTGTGTGGTAGTCTGAATGAAAATGGCCCCATAGGAACATAGGGCCTAGCACTATTGGAGGTGTGGCTTTGTTGGAGTGGGTGTGGCTAAAGCCTAAAGGAGGCAGGCTTTGAGGTCTCAGATGCTCAAGCAAGGCCCAGTGTGGTACTCTCCTTTTGCTGCCTGCCCAGCTGGACTCTCAGCTCCAGTAACATGTCTACCTGCATGCTACTATGCTTCTTGCCATGACAATACAGACTAAACCTCTGAAATTATAAGCCAGCCCCATTAAATATTTTCCTCTTTAAGATTTGCATGGAAGGCAACTCTGCCTCCCAAGTGCTGGTATTAAAGGTGTATACCATAACCACACAGCTTGTTTTGTCTTGTTTTTTTATTTTATTTTTGTTGTTGTTGTTGTTTTTTGATATAAGGTTTTATGTTGCCCAATCTACTGTCTTGAACTCCTGATTCTCTTACCTCAACCTCCCGTGCTAGAATTATAGGCACGAGCCCCCATACAATCATCAGCTTATTTCACTTAAGCTTAAACTGTATTGATTAAGCTTAAACTTACTGAACAATTAGGAGTCTAATACTTATCTGCCAAAGTAAAGCAAATATTAATTAAACTAAAAGTAAAAAATGTAAAATAAACAATGATACTGATAGAAAACATCTCAGCCACCAACTGTTATCAGCATTAATACAAGCAACATTAATAATTCATGTGCCAACTATATCAAAACTTCCCTTTAGAGACTGTAGGGATAGCTCAGCAGTTAATAGCACTGGTTGGTCTTTCATAGAACCCAAGTTTGGTTTTTAGCACTCTCACCAGGCAGCTTACAACCAACTCCAGTAGCTCTAACTCGTCTTCTGGGTTTTGAAGGTGCCTACACACATGTGGCATACAGCACCCTGTGCTGGTTTGAATGAGAATGGATGTTTGAATGCTTGGTCCCCAGTTAGTGGAACTGTTTGGGAGGGATTAGGAATCGTGGCCTTGTTGGAGGAGGTGATTCATTGCAGGGGTGTATGTGGGTGGGCTCTGAGGTTTTAAAAGCACTCATTATTCTCAGTGTCTTTCTGCCTCCTGCCTATGGATCAGGATATAAATCTCTCAGCTACTGTTCCTGTGCCATGCCTGTCTTTCTGCACCATGATCATCATCTTTTAAAAGAGTTGCCTTGGACCAGGTGTGGTGGCGTACGCCTTTAATCCCTGCACTTGAGAGGCAGAGGCAGGCAGATGAACTCTGTAAGTTCAAGAACACCTTGGTCTACAAAGAGTTCCAGGACAACCAGTGCTATTACACAAAAAATCCTATGTCAAAATCTTTCTTCCCCCTACCAAAAGGGTTGCCTTGGTCATGATGTCTCCTCAAAACAACAGAACAATAGTTAAGACACACACACACACACACACACACACACACACACACACACACCTTAAAAGCAATAACCAACCTCCCCACAACATCTTTCTGTTTAGAACGTAATTCTAAGCATACTCCACACCAAAGCAGGCACCTCATCAGAGTCCACGATGATCAAGAGACATCAGCACTCCTGAAGTTTGGTTAGGGGATTCTAAGTACAGTGTAAGACACTTCAGAGTATTAGAGGCAGCTGGGATGTAAGTCTACTTCAGAGTGCCTACCTGTTATGTTCAAGACTCTAGAATCCATTCCTAAGTACCACAAAAACAAAAGAAAACCCCCAAACAAACCCTTTATTAAATGACATAATCTACTATCTTTTCTAAAACTGTGAATCTGTTCTCCTTCCCAAACCTCATAACAACTACCAATGTTGTGCCCTCAGTATGTGGCCTTGGGCGAAAAAACTTTCCTTGGATCAAAGCATGTAACACTGTGACCCAGAGGCCTTGGCTGGTGCTGTGCAAAGTTCCTGGGCCAAGTTCAAGAGTCAACAGCAGTAATCTTTTCCTACACAGCTTCCACAATCAACATGAACACAGTAGTTAACACTGAAATCCACCAGATGGAAACACTGCCCACGCTTCAACACAAAGCTAAGGGAAGTTGTTGTAGTAGTAGTAGGCAATTTATGATTTCAGGAATTAATATAATTTCTCATAGACCTCATCTCAAGATCACTTAACCTTGTAAATGTCAAATAATCTTGCTCTCTGTGGTCAATGACTCAGCCCCTTCCCCTGCAGGCCACTGAGGCCTCTGCTTCCCTGTTTAACGGCGCATTCTCCTCTTCACCAGATGTGTGGCAAATGTGCACATATATAAATAAACAAGTTTAAAAAATACTGAATTACACCCAACTGGGGGATTAAGCTCAGAGGGGTATACATGCTTGAATCATCTCCCCAGACCCAAACTTTTTTTAAAGCAAAAACCAAAACAATAATAACAAAATGATCTCTCTCTCTCTCTCTCTCTCTCTCTCTCTCTCTCTCTCTCTCTCTCTCTCACGCACACATGCACACGCACTTGTCAGGTATGGTCACATATACCTTTAAGGCAGAGGCAGACAGATAGATCCCTGTAAAGTCTTGGTCTAAGTCCCAGAGGAGTCAGGGCTCATACATGGTGGGGCCATGCCTCGAAACAAACCCAGA